TATATATCAAATATAGCTATATACTATAAAAATATTAAACTATATATATATACAGTATATATAATATATAATATAGTATCAGTATCATAATAATATATAATATATTATATATACACAAATATATAAATATAAATATTATATCATATACCAAAATTATTATACATATATATAGATATATACTATATAATGTACACACAAAACTAGCTATATATTATTAATACTATTATAATTAGTACTATTATATATATATATACTAATAATTAATACATATTCACCTGATATGATATATATTTATATAATCAAAACTATGTATATATATTTATTCACCTAAACGCATACTAGAATACTACCAGAAGTAATACCATATATAATATTATAATTTAATATATACTAGATATATAGTATATATAAAGTATATATATAATATATTACGCCACCAAATTAGTATATATTATATACTAATATATATACTTATATATATATTATATATATATACAGGCACAAATATATATAATATTATGATATATGGAAATGTATACTAAGTGATATATATAGTATATATGGTATATATATATAGTATATATATATAAATACCTTATATATTATAGTATACGCACAACAGACTAGTACTAATATATATACTATATATACACATATACAATTAATATATATACTATAGCTATATATATATATATATCATATGTATGTATACTAATATAACATATTAGATAGATACTAATGCTAATATATAGTAGTACATAGTATATATTATACATATATAATATAGTGTATACCCTAATATATCTAGTATATATAAATAAGTGATCATATGTTATAGTATATATATGATATATGTATACTATACTATACTATAGCAAATACTATGATATATAATAAAATATATATATATATATATAATTATATCATACATTTATGCATATGTATGATATCATTATGTATATGTTTATACATGTATGTATATGTAGTGTATATGTATGTTTATGTATGTATAATGTATTATATGATATTGTATGTATGTATGTATTGTATATTACACTTACATATTATGATAAATATAACTGATATATATAATATAAATATATAGGTAGTATATATATGTATATATATATGTGAATGTGAGGTGCTGTGGTAGTGGTGACCCTGTGTGTCATGTCTGTGTTCCATTTCGTAATTAACCAACGCGCGCATAGATTCCCCGGTATGTGTGATGTGGTGCCTGGACACGTGTGTGCGCTGTGTGTCGATGAGTGATGGGCTGTACAGAGTGTGCATCCAACACCGTGTTTGATGTGTGTGTGTGTGTATGTCGTGTGTTGTGTGTGTGTGTGTGTGTGTGTGTGTGTGTGGTTACTGTACTATATATAAATAGTATATATATGATATATAAAATATACTTATATAATATATCATATACGTTATGTGTTGTGTGTCGATTGGTGCGGTGTGTGTGTGTGGTGTGTGTGTGTGGATGTGTGTAGTCCATTATATATTATATATAATAATACCTATATATATCCATATATCTACTACTATACTATATATACTTACTAGTATAGTTCATATATGTATATATATTATATAATCATATACTACTGTATATACCTGATACATATATATATATACTATATATGTATGTTATATATATAACATAGCGGATAGACTAGTATTATACTATTATTATATATAGTTATCTTATCATTACATACTAATACCTATACTATAGTATTATGTATACTATATAGTTATAAGACCAGTATATATATTACTAGTATGTATACTACTATATATATATACTCGATATACTAATATAGTATATTACTAACAGAATGAGATACTATATTACTATTATAGTATACTGTAGTCACTGAATATCTACTATATAGATGATTATATCAGACATTCCCTATACTATACATATATTACCTGGGTACTATATATGATTATATCTCAGTATGTATATCATTAATATATTATAATATATATATACCAGCTTTATAGATTATATGATATATATATCCAAATAAATATAACCGCTCAGTACTCATTATAAAATATATTTATCATTTACCTCTATACTATATATCAAATGTCATCTCTATATAAGACCGTATAATATAGTAATATAACCTATCTATATATAATAAATGTCCTTACAGTTTAGTATATATAAGTATATTATATAGCTGACCTATATATATATATTTTATATATATTAAAGTGGCTCTATATAATACTATATGATTAGGCTACTATATATCCAGCCTATTAATATATAAATATAGCCCTCGCTATATACTCATATATATGGTCTCATAAGTACGTATATATATATACCTATATAGAATAATCATATATATATGCCTATTATATATATATTACTATATTCATATAGTATATATATATATAATACTATCATATACTATATGATATATATAGTATAGGTCTATAGTTTATCATAACATACTATATATATAATATATATATACTATACTGATTATAGAATATATCATAATTATATAACTATACATGATATAGTATATCACTATTGGTATATACATATATATATAGCTATATATACTATATATATATAATGTATATATAATATATCTATATATAAGTCTATATTATATATTATACATTATATTCTGCAATATATATCGATATATATTATGATTATATACTATTAATATATATTAATATATACATATTAGTATACTATATTATAGTATCATAATATAATAACTCTATATAGAAGTGATTCATGTATAATCACGGTATCTTGGATAATATATATATATATAATATATCTATTATTACTCATCATCAAACTATCACTCTGATACTAACTAACATAATATACATTCATAATATACTCAGTATCTACGTATTAGTTCAATAATACATCCTATTCAACGTACTTATCATAGTATGTATATATATATATTTCGCTTCTACGTATCAACATGATTACGCCTATTATAGTACAACCTAACTACTACTACTATATAAGCTAGCGCGCTACCTCAAGACCTAATCAAAATCTCATACCTCTATATGCTATCTATAAAGATATCATGCTATTATTATTAAATATATATGTCATACGCTATATATATACTATTACTTATATATCACATATATTACGTTATTATATATATATACTATATACAGTATATTACCTATTATAGCTATATATGGTCTGTATAAATATATAGTATATATATATTATATAGGACATATAATAGATATAGTATACTATATACACTATAATGAATCCTGCTACTGTATATAGTCTATATACGTAATATATATATATATTATAGTATATATCTATCATATATAGTATATACTTATATATTGGTATATACTTATCCGATGCCTCTAGGACCCTGCTATTATGATATATATTATATATATATATATTATATAATTACTATATATGTATACTACATGATATATATCATAGTATATGAATAGTATATATACCTGTGTATATTAGTATAGACTATATACTATATATAATAAGTGATATAATATATACTATACTAAGCTATAGCTATATATATATACTGATATGTAGATATATATATGGTGTATATATATATATATATATAACTGCGGCTGGAGACGGGATACAGGGCGTTGAGGAGATGTGGTTGCCTTGGAGCTACGGTGGGGGATGCCGTGAACATGACGACCGAAGCAGCCAAGGACAGCGAAAAGAAAAACAGGAGATTATATATATGACTATCTCATATTGCTACTATAGATATATATACATATACTTATACAGTGATAGCTCTATACTATGACATATATACATAATATCCTTATATAGTTGGGCATATAATATCATACACTACTCCATAGTATAATATATATACCAAATAATATATATACGGCGAGGCAGTAACTGAGTATATCGTAGTTCTATATAGTATTAGATAATCGGGATACTATATATTATATATTTATGGCAAAGTGTGTGGTGTCTGGGACCGGCAAATGAGATGTTGGTGTGGCTGAGCCGTGATGCAGAACACCTCACTGAATGGGGATCATAGTGTGAGAAATGTTGTGGGCGTGGAGCTATATAGGAACTCGCTACGTGAGTGTGTGTGTGTGGCTTGTGCTGTGTGTGTGATCGTGGTGTGTGCATGTAAGGTGTTGTGTGCTCATATAGCCATACAGTAATAGTATATATATATATATATATACTACTATAATACCGTATTATATTTATATCATATTGCTGTGTGGAGGTTTGTGGTGTGGTGTTGTGCTGGAGCGGAATGTGTGCGTTGGGACGGTTGGTGTTGTGTTGTGGTGCTGGTGTATTCGTTATATACATATTAGTATACTAACATATATATATATAATATTAATATACTAGTATAAATATATATATAATGTATAATATACGTATATCACATCATATATTATATATGTCAACATGAATATGCATTATATAAATATATATAATATTTAAACGGTTATAACGTATAATAATATATAGTACATAATAATATATATAATAATAGTATAATATATATATATGAAAGTATCATAATATATAATTAAGTAAATATAATAATATTATATATAATAGTACAATAGTAATATAATTACATATATATATATAAAATATATATAGTTATATATGATGCAATATATATCATAAGGTATACTATAATAAAAATAATATAGTATAACTAAATCTTATATATGAATATATATGTACTACTTATTATAGCATATATCATATATATATAGTATATATATTGATATATCTATATAATATATATATGTATATTAATGTAGCACTATTATGTATATATGTATATTATGTAGGTCATATATAGCTCTAATATAATTATAAGCTCAGCCTAGTTATTAACTAATATATACGTATAATACTGTGTAATCATATGTAATATACTACGTACCTCTCGCCGTACTACTAATAGTATATGTGAATGTATATATACTGTAATGAGTGATCATGGCTAGTCCTCATAAGTGGTATATATATGTGATAGTATATGTACGTAATTATATAAACTATATATTATTATATATATGGTAATTTTATCATAGTTACAGTCGTGTATAGCGATATCGACGATTTTTGGTATCGTTGGATTCCTCTCACTTTATAGCAATGCATATGTAGGTTTTATTGCGCGGAAACCCCTTGTAGCGGCGATGTCGGAGCGGCGGACGTAGTAGTATATGAAATTACCCTAATAATATAACCTCACAGTGAAAATAATCATTATTCACATGACTTCCATTGCAGGGGGCTGTGCCCCCTGCGACCCCCCCAACCTGGGGGGGGGGGGGGCTGCCGCCCCCAACCCCGCCAAGGAAACAAAACCTCCACCACGTATTCACGGCAGGATAGAGCGCACACGAACTTGATGCGGAGCCGATAACCTACAATAACCTAGGATTTTTAAGGTACTAACCTGATTAATTAATGCCGCTAATTATTAGGGAGGGTGCTCCTTTGCCGCAGAATGTGAAGGAGGTCCAGGCGTGCTGGCTGCACGCACCTGCCGCAGGCTTTCTCCCGACGGAGGAGGCCGTGGGGGAAGCACATCTCTAGCATGTTTCCTGGCTAGTTGCAATTTTGCGCAGAAAAACCGTCTCCGAATACAAGCACCCTCCACACTCGGCCATCGAGGCGGCTATGACTTCTGAACGCGACGGTTATTTCGGTTAGGAATACGGATGTCGTTATTCTAGTGGACGGGAAACTCGACCTCGAGTCCATCGGTGTAACATCGAAAGAGGCGCAAAACCCGCCGACGAGGGCGGGCCACCCTGTTCATCCTGATTATACTACAATCGTCTCTATATACAATGCTGACTATGCCAAGGTTAATATGGTGATTCAGTGGGAATGTTACGAGGTAATTGTATTACGTCGCGCTCCATCAACGACGATTGCGTAACGCTCTAAAGTTATGTGAATAACCATGGTTATTTTCACAGTGCATTATATTATTAGTGCTATTTAACCCCGCGCATTTTCCCTGGAACCTTTCATGCCCTCCCTGCTGCTATCGGGGCCAAGTTTGTCGCTAACGGGAGGTTTCCGCGCAATAAAAACTATATATTTGCAATGTGGAGGAGAGTGAGAATCCAACAATACCAAAATCGTCGATATCGGTTATATAACGTAATATAGAAAATACTAATATATATTATATATATATATATATATATATATATATATATATATATATATATATATATATATAAGTAGTCTATCCCGCACCCTCCTCCATCATGCCTCAGGTTAATCGAATTTATCTTTTATAAAGATATATTCTAGAGTACGCAGGACACAGAAATGGCGACTGGGCTCCAAGAGCCAGATGGTTACGGAGGCATTAATTCGGGGTTGGCAGATGGTGCACGAAGCCACTTATCGGACTCACGACGGCCGGGCTTGGGCGAGGAGATACCTACTCTCCGTCGGCTTTATGATACCGCTACCTGTTGGGGTGTGTGTTCTTTCTGACCTCTCGCACTTACTTATCCAGCCTATCTCCCGCCCGCAGGTGTGTGCAAGCAGACGAGGGCGAGGCGCTCTCCCTGGAGTTCGGGTGTCAGTTCCATGAGGTGTCTGCTGCGGAGTCCCTGGCCGGCGTCCATCTGGCTTTCCAGTCGCTACTGAAGGAGACGCTGGCGCGCATGATCATCAAGGGCCTTCCGAAGGGCCGCCTCTCCAGCCCGGTCGAGGACACCACCACAGTGTCCGCCGTGTCCAGAGTCATAGGCAACATACTCAGCAGGGCGGGAAGGGGGATCCGCAAGAAGAGGCCGTCACACAGCATCTGATTTCGACCTGGATTCTATAGGGCCCCGCGTCCTCCTGCCGTGTTCATTTACTTGTGATAAATCTCTTTAGTTATTGTTCATATAAGCTTGCCACGTCTATTCAGTAAGTCCGCTTCGATCAAGTTACAGTACAGTCACAGTATAGCCTTCAAGGTGTCAGACACGTGAACATGAAATAGGTAATACTGAGAAGGCTTTTGTTTAGAAGACAACTGAAATAAATACATCGAGGGAAGAATATGGTGTATTAGAGAAATATGAAGAGTATAATACCATGTTGGAGACAGTTATTTCCAGAAATCACAGGACTCGAGGCGACATTCTTTTGTTCTATAAAGAGGCGTAATGTTTATTACGGTATATTTCCTATATTCTCATGGGTGTCAAAAATATGCAAACAAATTCAAGCCAAAATTGATTCTGAATCAGGATAAACCTTAACAAAATTATTGAACTAGGTTATCTGAGATAAATGGAGTTTAGGATAGACTAGGTGCGGATTGGGTGGCTGTTACAAACTAGAATGAGTCAGAAAGCTGCGTTAGAATTACTCCAGAGGAGCTAGGTTAGGCTGGGTTTGGAAGACAGAGACAGACAGCGAGGAGAAAAGAAAAGAGAAAGAAAAAAGAGAGAGAGAGAGAGGTGGGAGAGAAAAGAGAGAGAGGGGGGGGGGGGGAGAGAGAGGAGAGAGACAGAGAGAGAGAGAAAAAAAAATCATATGCCTGTGTGTTTGCGTGTAAATGAGTGAGTGACTGAGTGAAAGAGAGAGAGACAAGGGGGTAGAGATAGAGAGAGAGAGAGAAGGGGGGAGAGAGAGAGAGAAGGGGAGAGATTGGAAGAGAAGGGGAGAGAGAAGGAGANTATATATATATGTATATATATATATATATATATACATGTATATATATATGCATATACATATATGTATATGGAAGAAAAACCCACAATGCACAAACTAGATTTATTGATGAAAGTGAGACAACAGTTTCGGAATCGTCCTCGATTCCATCTTCAGGTCTGTTTTTCATTGCATATATGTATATATATATATATAAATAAATAAATAAATAAATAAATAAATATATATATGTTTATATGAACAATTAATTATACTCATGTGCAAAAAGAGTAATATCTAGTTGATATACCAAGAGGTAGCTCTATCATAGGTAATGATATCTATGAACTGACACAATCTTTTTTTATTACCCTTGACACATTAATTCAATACTTACATTTGTTTGATTTGAACGTCCATAAATTCTTGAAAGACGTATTACTGATAGGAATGCCATTCTTCCAGATGACCTCTTTCTTCTTTTATAGGGTTTTAGACTATACAATAGTCTAAGCTCTTTGGATTTTCTTATATCATTTCTCGTAGGTTTCAAAATATAATTACTATTCTTGTTTTTGTAGGAATATCTATCTCAAAATGTAAGACTTCTTTATAGATGGATTGTCGGCACCTGTAAATAATAAATTTGTCAGGGTTTTGTAATGTTAATATTTATGTTTGAAACAAATAATTGTGCTAGACATCAAAGGTCATGTAGCACTATGGTAAAGTATAGTATCAGAGAGGGTATAGAGGAGTTAAGATTAGGATAAAATGTGTTTGATGTCAAAGATTAGAGAGCATTATAGGATAGTATGGTAGTGAAAAGAGAAAGAGGGGAGTAAGTGAACTAGAGCAGATAGAGGGGATTTGTGTGAGTATTCGTGTGGGAGTGGTAGAGAGGGTGGGGTATGTTAGGAGGGTGTTGGAGGAAGGGGGGTGGAGGGAACTGGAGGAAGAGGATGGATATCTGCAAATACTTTAAATGTAGGAGTAGGAACAGAGGGATTAGGGGATGGATGAAGGAGCAGAGGGTTCCCTTGGGTATTCTATAGGAAGTTTTGGATGTCTTCAAGGATTTCTGGAGGAGAGTTGGGTAAAGAGGACTGAGAAACAATGAGGGCTCTTATGAGGAGAAGAGGAGATAGATATCTGAGGAGCAGAAGAAGAGGAAGGTGTTGGAGAGGATGTAGTAGGAGAGGGTGGAGTGGAATATTTAGGTTGTCTGGTATGACAACCAAAGTGAGGAGGGGGGGTAGGTATCGGGGAAGTGGTAGAGATTGGAGTATCTGGGGGGGGGGGGATGCAGTAGGAGATGGAGAGGAAGGGGTGCTTTCTGGAGGTTGAGTAATAACCTGGATGGGTGTTTTGGAATGGATAGAGTTGGTTGGAGATAACTCATTAATTCTTTTTGCAAAATATAGAGTGTAGAATTGTGCTTTCTTTCATGTATAACTTTGACCTCGCATCCTTATAGGTGGAAAAAAAAAATTGCCTTTTTTTCCCCTATTCTCCGGTACATAATGTGGCCCACAGTTTTTTCCTGAACAATCTGCAAAAAATTCATGGGTTAGATCTATCCTAGCCTAAGGCTGTGTAATAGCCCGATTTTTTAATTTCCCTTTTCTTTGGGGGGGCGGGGGATTGGCTGACATAGAGAACTATCTTTTGTCTGTTTTTTCAGCATTAAAACATTTATATTTTTTGACTAAGGTCAAAATTTTTTAATCGGGCTATTACACGGTCTCAAGGCTCCAAGGCTCTAGCGAAAACAAGAAACTGCATTCGAATCGCACGAAAATTACGAGCCCCATTATGTACTGAAGGTCGTGTACACAAAGAATGAAGACACGATGTATTATATTTTGGCAGCTTGCCAAAATTCGTTATCTGTTATTTTTCTCTACATCTAATGATGTAATATATATAAAAAACTTATTTAGTGTACTTTGCGATTTAATCGGAATAATCATTTCTAAAAGGAACACTTTCCTATAAATATATGTAATTTTTTTGTTTGTTTGTTGGATATAAAAGTAGATATTTTTGTCTGGAAATTTAATAAATGCATTTTAGAGACAACTAGTCTAAACCAGATAAAAACCTTTTCATACTTTCTTTCTTTTTTTTTTTTTTTTTAACTAAGATTTTGAAAAAAATGGAGAACTGTGGATGGCAATATCTGTACAAAAACTCCAAGTTATACAGTCCTACCATAAATACAACATGGTAGTTCAATTTTGAGAATTTTAGAAGCTTATGAATTTAATACATGGAATTCGAGAGATGGTCACTGGGTGCTTATAATTTTCGGGGAGGATCATATGTTCATAAACACACACACATAAAAAAAAATACATAAATAAATAAATAAATAAAAATTAATCATCCTTATTTAGTAGGCCTACATTGACTTTTACATCTAAAGGAACAAAATATATTAGTTACCCTACAAACCATTTTCTTAGATAATTGTCAATATTAGCAGATTGCAAAGGGGAATGAGTGTAGAGTTGTTGATAAGCCATTTGCACCCATTATCTTTAATAAGAAGTGCATAAAATCATGCAGCCGCCTGGTTGTGGTTGGATATTTGCGAATTTATGGTACCTGAGACCTACGGTAATGTCAACTAAACATTATTTTTTATCCGAAACACATGAAACAGATGCGATAGCTTTTTGAACTCTTGACGAAGACTGTGCACAAAATCGAACCCAAATTCCATATAGTTTTTATTTCAGAGTGTGTATTACTGAGTACTATCATCTTCAATATGAAATAATCAGTATCTCGCTTATACATCCAAAGTTCAAAAATCCGAGTATTTGATAACATTTGTAGAGAAGTCCTCTTCACAGCAGAATAACCAATTTCAAATCAAATCAAATTTACCGATGCCATAATGTACCGACCCTTGAGCGAAATGTAATGGGAATATTTCAATCCTTACTTATACGGTTATTATCAATCATTACTGCTTCGTACATGGTATACGTACAGATTACTTTGTAACCTACAACATATTACCAGGGAATCTCGATTGAACCATATTTCATGTGTAAAAGGACACAAAACTTATATTAATTTTTAGATATATTTCACAAAATATTTTGTCATTAATCATGGTGATATACTTTTTTTTCTGATATTGGTATAAAAGTGTTCCTTGAACATTAACGAACTCATATCTATGTGCAATGTCATAATCAAATGCTGTATGCATGACTGCACCAAGCCTCTCCTCTCCAGGTGTTCAGTGGGTAGACATTGGCTACAAGACAACAAGCCACAGCAGGGTTTTAATACTTGTTTGGTAATTTCCTCATCCATGTACCTATACTATACACTACAATTTGGCACAAAAAAAAAAAATTGTTTGCTCAGAATGGTCCCCTTAACCACTAGCTGACAGGTGGCATGCACGTACATGCCATGGCTGTTGTGGACACACAAAAAAATATATACATACATATCATGCCTATTCCCGCGCCATTGGCTCATCAGACAGAGTTTGTTTTTCTCCAATAGTAGCATTTTCATTATATAGTAAAAAGGCAATGGCACCTATAACGAAGGTAAACCTTCAAAATTATAATATTTTCATAAATTATAGCAAAATAAAAGCTTTTAGGTGCCAAATGTTGCTTGCAAACTATCAAACGAGCCGAGCGCAAACAGAAAACTGCCGATGCACACTACCAATCCTGTTATTACATCCTTTCGCCAAACACTTTTACCCAGCAGCATTGGGTTAATGCCCCTATTAAGGGTAAAGAATCTTCATTATTGGCCATGATGCGCCTCAATAAAATGGGGAAAAGAAACAGTCCACCCCTCTGGGTACCCATAAGGGGTAGGGGCTCAGCAGTTAACCAAGGGAATACTGTGCCTATGGCTCCCAGAGATTGTTCATGACTTACACAAAGCCAGCCTTTCGTCCTTTCAGCACGGCTCTCAACCCTTTGGAATGGAATAGAAGGAGATAAAGAAGATACGGAAGAGGAAAGGAAAAGATCAAGCAAAATTAATTGAGGTAAGGGCTGAGGCCTAAGGTAGGGGTGATTCCCCACATAAGCCCTCCCATGACAACAGCGAGCAAGGAATTGGGAGGGAGGTTGTTGTAACTTGTTCTCTTTTGAAGATTGTAATAAATTGGTTCTGTAAGTATTGAATTTTGTGCAATGTAAGATTAGGTACTTTGCTGTTTCATTTTGATTGTTGCACCATCTGCACAATGTGTGTTTCTATTCTTTATCTTTGTAAGAGCTTTTTCTTGTGTGTTATCATTAGTCTGGCTATGCTCCCATCTCTTTCACTGTTTTATGATCTGGAGCACAATTGAGGATTGTCATACTTCATGTAGACTAATAGTTTTTGTTTAATATTTAATTTAAATTTGTTATCCAGATTTCTTGTTTCCTCATTTTCCTTTCTCTTATGTGATGGGATCCATTGTACTTTTACATGTTGTTCTTGGGTGCTTAGTGTAGCAAATATTGAATTTGATATATCCTTTTTTGTGTACTTATCTATTTACTGAAAATTTTCAGCCACATAAACATTTAAGGTCAATAGCTGTGCATACAAAATATAGCAATAGGATGAGGCTTGGGGAAGCCCCCAGGTGAGGGAAGGTCATACAGATTTATGTCATATCACTGTGGCAAAAAGGTTAAAAATAGGTTAACAATTAAGATAAATATGTTTGATATCAAAGATTGGAGAGTGTTGTAGGTTACAATTGTAGTGAAAAGGGTAGAGAGAGAATAGCTAACAGAGTACAAAGGCC